GATGCAATAGTAGTTTTGCACCTTACTGGCTAGGGCGCTCTCCTAATCATAAACACAGGTGTACTGATTGTAAGGAAAAATGTAAGCTGACCTGAACGACACGCACGTATAAGAACTGCCGAAAAATATTTTCTTGGCAGTTAACGGCGACCGACGTTGCAGAGCCATTTGCTCATACATTAGCATAGCTAGGAATCGTGGCGCGATGCTGCGAGCAAAGTGAAGCATGTAGATCAGATTTTACTATCCACACGTGCTGTCAGCTTTCCCGGCTCTACTTTGAACGTATCAGAACGGCCGAAGAATATTATCTTGGCAGTCAACGGCGACCGACGTTGCAGCGCCATTTGCCCATACATTAGCATAGCTAGGAATCGTGGCGCGATGCTGCGAGCAAAGTGAAGCATGTAGATCAGATTTTACTATCCACACGTGCTGTCAGCTTGCCCGGCTCTACTTTGAACGTATAAGAACGGCCGAAGAATATTATCTTGGCAGTCAACGGCGACCGACGTTGCAGCGCTATTTGCCAATACATTAGCATAGCTGAAAATCGTGGCGCGATGCTGCGAGCGAAGTGAAGCATGTAAATCAAATTTTACCATGCACACGTGCTGTCAGCCTGCCCGGCTCCACTTTGAACGTATAAGAACGGCTGAAGAATATTATCTTGGCAGTCAACGGCGACCGACGTTGCAGCATCATTGGCCCATACATTAACATAGCTGGGAATCGTGGCGCGATGCTGCGAGCTAAGTGAATCATGTAGATCAGATTTTACCATGCACACGTGATGTCAGCCTGCCCGGCTCCACTTTGAACGTATAAGAACGGCCCAAGAATATTATCTGGGCAGTCAACTGCGACCGACGTTGCAGCGCCATTTGCCCAGGATCTGCACATGCGCTAACACACTAACGTAGCAAGATTGTGTACTGACTGGTATATTCAGCGGGGACCTTACATGCAGGATCTTCTTCCTATTTCTTATGTGAGGTCTACTGATAGAATGTTATCATATAAATTAATGCTAAGGTAGCTCCTCTTCAGATTAAATGCATAATCTCAGCAAAATGCATAAATTAAGCTATTCCGGAGATATTGCGCATGCGCGTGCACCGTTTCAGGCGTGCAGTACGGACTAAAGAAAACTTTGTAATTATAGCTAGCTGAGGGAGAGGTGGGTGGGATACTGAAGAAAGGCGGCAGAGAAGATAGCTGAGGGGCGGTAGAAGAAGAAGGAGGCTGAGCGAGGGTGACAAGGGGAAGTGAGACAAGGGGAAGGACGAGAGGGGCTGAAGTATGTGTTTTGCACCCTACAGGCTAGAGCGCTCTTCCAATCATAAACACATGTCTACTGATAATAATTTATTAGAGAAATCTATGCTGAGCTGATGGAATGTTATCATATAAATCTAGGGTAGAATACCACCTCTTCCTTTTAAATGCATAACTTTTGGGTGATATTGCGCATGCGCGAGCACCGTTTCAGGCGTGCTGTATTCGAACTGAATACAACTGGATAATATTGCTTTGTGAGGGAGAAGGTTGGGAAGACTGAGCAAGCAAACTGCAATAATAATTATAGCTTTGCTGAAGAGAGAGAGAGAGAGAGAGAAAAAGAGACCAGAAACGGAAGAGAGAGAAGAGAGAGAGAGAGAGAGAGAAGAGAGAGAGAGAGAGGGAGAGAGAGAAGGAGAGAGAGAGAGAGAAGAGAGAGAGAGGGGAGAGTAGAGAGAGAGAGATGAGAGAGAGAGAGCGAGAGAGGGAGAAGAGAGAGAGAAGAAGAGAGAGAGAGAGGAGAAGATAGAAAGAGAGAGAGGAGAGAGAAGAGAGAGAGAGAAGAGAGAGAGCGAGAGAAGCGAGATGTAGAGAAGCGAGGGAGAGCGACGAGAGAGAGAGAGAGAGAGAGAGCGAGAGAGAGAAAGAGAGATGAGAGAGAGAGCGAGAGAGCGAGAAGGAGAGAGATAGAAGCGAGAAAAGAGAAGAGAGAGGAGAGGAGAGAAGAGAGAGAGAGAGAGAAGCGACGAGAGAGAGAGAGAAGAGAGATAGAAGAGGAGAGAGAGAGCGCGATTAGAGAGAGCGGAGAAAGGCGGTGGAGGTACCTGAAAAGGAACGACACCAGGGAGGACGCAGAGGGGCAATACAAGAAAGAAATAAGATACCCCGTAACTGATCATATTCTTGACTGCTGTGGCCTTTAATGCAATGCTTGTGGGGACACGTGTCGGATAGACACGAATAATCACCTTTCGAGGGCCAGTGCGCCGTCGCAAGTAGCAGTGGATGTAGCGGTGGCGACTTGCAAACTGGACAACTATAGCGGGGTGAAGCAAACGACTGGGGAGCGCCTGATGGTAAGCTGCGAGTTTAAATTGACCAGAAGGAGGGCAAGAATGGCTGGGAATGCTAGTCACTGTTACCTACGAAAATTACCGCTAACCCCTCTAGCCGAGCTGCAGTCAGTGTTTCGGAATATGCCTAATTCAAGGTAAGTAACGAGAACCGTTCGCGATGTCTCTCTTTACGGCATTTCATTTGACTGTCCGTTAAGTACTCCCGATAGCTCACGGTCCAAGCGACGACACGTGCCGGGCAATGCGCGGAGCAAGCTTATTATTCCAAGGCGTAGTGACCAGTAGTAGTTAGAGTGAATCAGCGGGCCGGGTATCTAGGTGGAATGTTTTGTTCGTTAGTGCTCTGTTTTTGTCGGTCACCAAGTTCGTGCGTATGAAGCGGTTCGTGAGTCGTCTGATATATGGCCTGTGCCAAGACAGCAAACAGCGGTCGCGTCGTGTTCTGGTGACAAACAACGCGAATTTTGCGATCAATGTCTACTCCTCGTCTAAAATACCTGACACGCTCTTTGGTGCGCAACAATCGTTAAACTTTTTCCGTATCGCGTCGCATTTCAGAACCCATTCCATTGCTGCGCTGCGGTGCGTATAAATTCCCCACTAACCTTCCGTTTCGACATAGCGCGATGTCACACAGTGGTCATATTTGACACTGTAAGAACACATTGTGCACATGTGTGAACTAATAAAACGCATTGTAGCTAAGCTTAGAACCTCGGGGCCTGTCGGCAAAAGCGAGGGTTATATGCTTTCTAGAGACTCAGGCTAACAATGTTAGCAGCAGATTGATGATATTGCTACAATGTAAAATAAACACGTACACCACAAAGTATAAATCAATACTAGCAACAATATATAGCAAAGTAATATATATATTAATGATAAGTAATATATATATATTAGTATATAATGATATATATATATACTATATATATATATATATCAAGGGGTTCAATAATGACCACACCTCTTGTATTTTTTTTTGTTATTTATCTATGCTTTGATATATATATATAATAGTATATATAATCAATATATATATATATATATTAACACAACACGTGCGCATCTTTTAAATGATGCCTTGTGTCTAAAGCTTCTTTTGTTTCTGGTCAATTCCGTAAATGGAATATTCGTCTCCTTCATGCTTTTTGCAATTTGCTGCTTTTTCCACTGGCAGTGGTTGATCGTGTCGATTGATCAACTTGGTTTAGCGCGTTCTCGTTATCGTCCTTTTGGAACTTTGAAGACTATATATTTATGAGGGTTATGTTGGTTTGATATGTGAAGATGGTTGTCATTAGACGTAGAGCGTTAATGCGTTGACTGCGATTCTTTTTTTGAGAAATTCTCTGCGTTTTCGCAAATTGAATTACAAGTATCAAAGCACCGCATGCTCAAGAAGTTGGAGATCCGGTGGCCAGTTACTGGTGCTGAAAATGTTTGAAAGGTGCCATTGATTTTCACACTGGGTGTTTAGATTTGTTATTAGAGTGAGATAACGAAAACGATCCTACAAAACTCCAGGTTACCGTTATCCGCGCTCAATTTCACAGGCTCGATTCACCCGACGCTGTCCTATTGTTCGTAAGGG